AGAGTTCCGAACAGAGAGGCAGGGTCTAATCTGCAGCCTCCGTGGCAGCTGTTGATCAGCCTTTGCCTCTCTCTTTCTCTCCAGGCTTCACCAGCAGCCACACATCTGTTTCTCTCTGGGCCTTTGTGGGACTGCTGATCAGACCTGGAGATAGGCCCGGACACACTGACTGACATAGAAACTCACCAGTCAGAACCAATATCTGGGTGAACTGCGAGGAGCCAATGGCTGCCTAGGAGACAGAGCTTTTGACACTTACTGGCATAGAAACTGACCAATCAGAACCAAATGTGGGTGAACTGTGAGGAGCCAATGGCTGCCCAGGAGGTGGAGCTTTTGACATTGACTATCATAAGAACAACCAATCAGAACCAAGTTGGCTGACAGAAGAGAGCAGTTAGGGGCAACCAGGCCGGCAGGGGAGGGCATTTGGGGGCAAGATTAGTCTGGCAGGGGAGGTCAGTTAGGGGTGATTGGGCAGTCAGAGGCAGTTGGGGGCGAGATCAGGTCTGCAGGGGAGGGAAATTAGGGGGGATTAGGCAGGTAGGCAGGCAGATGTAGTTATGGGAGATCAGGCAGGCAGGGGAGTTAGGGACAATCAGGCAGGCAGAGACAGTTAGGGGAATCTGGAAGGCAGGCAGGTGAGCAGTTAGGAGCCAGTGGTCCCAGATTGTGAGAGGGATATCTGACTGCCGGTTTAGGCTCAATCCCTGTGGATTCCTTTGGCAGTCAGACATCTCCCAAGAGTTCCCTGATTGGAGAGGGTGCAGGCTGGGCTGAGGGAACCCCGCGCCCCCCCCCCCGCCCCCCATGCATGAATTTTGTGCACTGGGCCACTTGTTACATTATAAGTTATGTCCTTTTATTAGGTTCCTTGAAAAAAAAAATTTATAGTATGAAGAATAGAGGTACTTCCTTAAATACATATTTTTCTTTTCCTAAGGGCATCGTGAACCATATAACTGACTGGATTTTCTCTTTTGTGTATTTAAACGAAATTCATGACTAAAACATAGCAAATATACAGATCTTTTGTCTTAGATTTTTATTTAATATCTTTTCTAGTCCCTTCCCTAGTCTTGGTCTTTTATTTGCTTATTTTTGTTTTATTTCTTTACTTTTAGTTTATATTTTCATGTTATAGTTTGTGTCATTCAATGCTACCTAAACATTCTCTAGAATTTGGTTTTGGGGGCAAGAAGCATATAAATGAACAATCATATTTAGGGAACATCCTTATAAAAGGCATCATGGTAGCTTGGTAGGTTGTGCAAAGATGAGTGAGGTAGGTCTCCTCCCTTTGTAGGCATATATGAACAAGTAAGAATACAAAACACTGTGCAATTGATATTGCAATAGAGAACTATCATACTTTTAAAAGACACAAATTTTCCTTTTAGTTATAAAGAACATTTATTGAAACAATATTTTACGTACACCTAGTTATAAAGCTATTATAATACCATTTCTTTTCCTATGACAGTCCGTCCAGTTTAATTTTTTTTTCAATCTCACCTGAGGATATGTTTGTTTGTTTGTTTGTTTGTTTATTTATTTATTTATTTGATTTTTAGAGAAAGAGTTAGGGGAAGAGAGAGAGAGGGGGAGGGGGAAGAGATCAGTGGAAGAGAAACATTGATCAGTTGCTTCCAGGATGCACCCTGGTCGAACCCACAACCTAGGTATGTGCTCTGACCTGGAAGTAAACCCACAATCTTTTTGATGTAGGGGATGATGCTCCAGCCACTTGAGCCACTCAGCCAGGGCCCAGGCTTCCTTTTCTTATTCTCTTTGCTGAATGAATACTAGTTTATCTTTAAGAACTATTTATTCCAAAATTCATTTGTCTTAGGTTTTTTGTAAAAAATAAAATAAAATACATCTCGTCACCCAAATACCACTCATGGAGTTGAGAAACAAAAATTACTTCAGAAGAAAAAGCTTTACTCTTTGAATAATGGAAAGAAGAAGCAGTCCATCAAAAAGGTGTGACTTAATCCAAGGTGGGAAGATTTGGACATACTGATATGGGCAAGATTCATGACTCTCTCATTCATTCTCTTTATTCTGGTCTTTTCACTAATAGTCTTGCTCTGATAATTATTGTGGATAGATTCAGAAATTGTGAGATAAGAGAGGAGGTCAATGAATTCTATATTCAGCCTAGAACTTAGTAATACTAAATAAGTCTCTGCTTTTCACCATCTGATGTATCTGTGAACCATCCAAGAACCTTACCACTGTCCTCTAAATTTGTAACTTAGATTTCTTCAGAGAAACATTATTTCTTCTAAAGCTCCTTAAGTAGATTGATTCAAATTATATAGATAACTAGTTTTTGGCTTTTAGATTTCATTTATTTAATCATGCACTCAATAAATGAATACTATGTATAAGGAAATGTGGCTAGACGTGATTTATTGAAAGAATATTTTTATTTTTTTTTATTTTTGTTTATTTATTTTTTTAATCAATCTTTATTGTTCATATTATTACAAAGGTTCCTCATTTCTTCCCCTCTCCACCAGGTTCCCACCCCACCCTCCGCCCCCTCCCCATCCCCCATTGTCCTCATCCATAGGTGCAGTTTATGTTCAGTCTCTTCTTCCCTCCCTTTCCCCAATAGTAAATCCCTTTTCAGATAGTAAATCAGTTACTTAGCATTTTCTCATATCAATAATACCTCCACATGCCCAATGATACACTTCACACAAAAGACATTTCGCAATAGGTCCACCAGCCTCATCCAGGCCCCACCGAAGGCACTCACAGATCAACACCCCAGTCCTAAACTAACTCAACACATCCAGATCTAAGCCTTCATCACTTGATTCAGCAGACCCTCAAGTTCCCACGAAAGTTTCCAGCCATGTCTGAGAAGCAGCCGTGGGGCAGGGGCAGGCAAGGAGCGAGCTGTTCCGGGCCTGGCTGCTCAGGGCCTGGCCTCTGTTGCTCTGGTTCATTCCACAACCAGCTGCTCCAGGTCTGGTCACTGCCGCTCCCGACCTAGTTGCTCTGGACTTGGCTGCTGCTGCTCCCGGCCTGGCCGCTCCCAGCCTGGCAGCCGCTGCTCCGGGCCTGGCCACACCCGACCCGCCTGCTCGCCCGGGCCTGGCTGCTCCCAGCCTGGCAGCCGCTGCTCCGGGCCTGGCTGCACCCGACCCGCCTGCTCCCCCGGGCCTGGCCGCTCCCAGCCTGGCAGCCGCTGCCCCGGGTCTGGCCGCACCCGACCCGGCTGCTTTGGGCCCGGCTGCCCCGGGCCCGTTCGCTCCGAGCCTGGCCACTCCCGACCTGGATGCTCTGGGCTTGGCTACTGCTGTTCTGGGTCTGGCTGCTCCCACCCCGGCTGCTCTGGGCCCGGCTTCTTCGGGCCCGGCCACTCCGGGTCTGGGTGTTCCTGGACTGGCCACCCTGGGCTTGGCCGCCTCCGCCTCATGCCTGGCTACCACTGCCCCAGGTCTGGCTACTCCAGTGCTGGCTGTTGATGCTCTGGTTCTGGCTGCTGTTGCTCTGGGGCCTGGCCGTTGCTGCTCCGGGTCTGGCTGCCACTGCCTTGTGCCTGGCCACTCTAGGCCTGGCCGCCGCTGTTCCAACATTCTGTCCTTTTTTTTTTCCTTTTTTCTTTTTAAAACGCATTTATGTTGCAATGTTGGCTGGTGAGTTGAGTTCTGACTTAGTCTTTGATTTTTCAAGATCTTCTTTGTATTCTTTCTTAAGTAATTTTACTATTTTTTGCTCTCACTTGATTACTTCACATTGAGAACTTCTTTGGTTTCTTCCTCCTTGTCCTGGGAGCTCAGCAGGTTGGCCTGTGGCACCCCTTTGTTCTCCGCGGGCTCCTGAGCTGCTTCAGCCTGTTGCCGGGACAGCGCCGCCCAGGAAGCAGCTCCCGGCCTTGGCTCCATTGCCCGAGCTCAGTGGTCAAAGGCTCAGGGGCACCCACGCCCCCCCAGGGGCCTCGTGGCCCGCCTCCTTGCTGGTGCCCGGTTGGCTGGAGTCCGGCAGGGGCTTCCGCTCCCCTCCGTGTTCCCCCAGCCTAGAGCTTTTTTTTCTCTCCTTCCCGCTAGGGGAGTCCAGCATCAGAGTCAACAGACTGTCCTCTGCGCGCAGTTTGCGTGAGTCCCGGGGGCCCGGCCTTTCGCCGCTCTCCCCAGACTCCACCTCACAGCCCCGTCTCCCTCTGCTTGAGCCTGGGTCCCCAGGGATTAGACCAGAACTGGGGTTCGGAGCAGTCCGGACTGAGGCCCAGCGCCACCGGAGGCCTTGTTTCTTCCGGCTAGGGTAACCCAGCATCAGAGTCAACATTCAGTCCTCTGCGCATGCATTGCGCGCGACTCCAGGGGCCCTGCTTTTCGCTGCTTTTCCGCCTCACAGCCCCGTCTCCTCCCACCGGAGCCTGGGTCCCCAGGGTCTGGCCCATAACTGGGGCTCAGCGCTGCCGGTTCGGGGGGGCTCAGCGCTGCCGGTTCGGGGGTTCAGCCCAGGCTGGGGGTTTTATTTCCTTCCTGCTAGGGAAGGAAAGGCAGCTCCCCGCCCTCTCCTCCTCTCTGGCTGCGACCTCTCTGTGCCTGCGTGCGGGTGGGCGAGCAGCATGTCTCCGTACCTTAGGCTTTTTTTCAGCTCCTCTGATTTTCCTTCTGGTTTTCTCTTTCCTTCTTGTTGTAGAAATTTCAGTCAGTCGACTACCTGTAGCTCTGGGCAATGTCCACTCTACATCTTAGATGTATTCCATTGAAATTGTTGTGTGCTGCCGTGGTTAGATGTCTACCCGAGCAGCCATCTTGGATCCTCCTGAAAGAGTATTTTTAAACATGTTTTTCAGATTCAAAGAAACTGTTTAAGCATACTTTTTTTTTTACTTGATTTTCAAGTCACATCACACTTTGAAATGAACAGAATAAAAGGAAAAAGTTGACAATGCTTTATTAAGATTGAAATGAACAGAATAAAAGGAAAAAGTTGACAATGCTTTATTAAGATTGTTTTTTTCTTATCTACAGGTCTTTGGAAATGCTCCACCAAATACAATGATAGAAAAATTTTCCGATCTTCTGCAGTTCACAACACAAGTCTCACGATTGATGGTGACAGAAATTCGAAGGAGAGCATCAAACAAATCTACAGGTATTATTGCAGAAACCAGCAAAGCCTGACTTATTGGAATTGACATTTTGGTAAAAGTACTATTAAAATTAAATAGAAAATTGACCTTCTAGGCACATTCACCTTCTTATAGACACATTCTTCTCTTGGTTTCAACATCTTCTAATTTTAAGTTTAGTTTTATGAAGGCTACTTTCCTTGGACCACTGCTCTTTCAACTTTACTCTTTCTTCTGAACAAAATCAAAATTCTTAGCATGACATTTAAGACAAACAAGAATTGGGCCATATGTATTAAGTCATAACTTTTTTGGATTAAGTCATACCTTTTTGATAGAATGTTTCTTATTTCCCTTACTCAAAGAAAAAACTTTCTCTTCTGAAGTACTTTTTGTTTCTCAAATTTGTCAGTGATATTTGGGTATGGTGTCTTTATTTTCTATTAGAGGCCTGGTGCACCAAATTTGTGCCTGGGTGGGGTTCCTTGACTTGGCTAGTGATTGGGGCTGATCAGGGCCATCTCACCCAGTCCCTATCAGGGATGGTGGTCTGGGAGGGAACGTGGAAGGGCTCTAGGGCATTTTCAGTCCCTATTAGCTGGATCCTAGCAGCAGGCTAACCTACAGGTTGAAGCATCTGCCTCCTGGTGGTCAATGCACATCATAGCAACCGGTCAATCAACTTGTTGGTTGGACACTTAGCATAATAGGCATATATATATATATATATATATATATATATATATATATATAAAATCTCGATTATAACTCATAGCATGGAATGCTCAGCACACACTTTCCCTCCAGTTCCTTGTCTTGGACACCTTATGACCTTCCAAGGTTCTACTCACCCTCTTCATCTACCACACGAAGTAAATTGCATCGTGTGCGTGGAAACCCTTTGCAGGCTCCATGGTGTGTCTTTACTTCACTGCAGTTCTGATTACCCCAACATAAGGAGAGACACCCTCGTTATCAGGTAACACCACCGTGGTAAGACCCCTGCTCAGCCTACTACAGCTGTTTTAAAGAGGCATGGGTCACCTAGATGGTTTGGCTCAGTAGATAGAGCCACAGCCTGCAGACTGAAGGGTCCTGGTTTGATTCTGGTCAAGGGCACATTCCTGGGTTGCAGGCTCAATCCCCAGTAGGGGGCTTGTGGGAGGCAGCAGTTCAATTCTCTCTCACCATTGATGTTTCTATCTCTCTCTCCCTCTGTCTTCCTCTCTAAAATTAATAAAATTATATCAACAAAAATAAAAGTAAATAGGCTATTAGTCAAGCATCATTGCTCTCCATCCATCTCCATTCTCCTCACACCCTCTTTTGTCTTCACTCCCACCTTCCCCCCCCTCCCCCCCACACACACACAGTCTACTGAGGTGTGTAAAATGGGGTCAGGATTTCTACTTCATCCAAGGGCAGTGCTTCCAAACAGCCTTCCTTCCCTGCCCATCTCTGCCCCCAGTCCTGTGGGGTCTCTCCCTCCCTCTATCTAACTTGGTGGGGTCCTGCTCTGCCCCCTCCTCCTGCGACCTCCTGTCTCCAGCTTCCCAGTATGCAACTGATCGAGCCATTGAACTCCCAGCAGAACTCCAGTGGAGGGGGACAATTTGCACATTTGCATTTGGCTTTTATTATGTAGAATTAGATCGTAAGCTATTTATGTAACCTACAATATTTACCCCAGAGCTTTATGTACACTAGGCCTTTTATGAATGCTGCCTGAATAATATTCTTATTCAGAGTTGTTAGGTCATTTTAAACTTTGTAAAGTATCTTTCTTTTTACTTAAGATTAAAATAAACTTTCTTAATTTTATCTACCAATTAGTAATTTAAATCATTTTCTAAGTTAGCATTATGTTTGAGAAATTTTATCTTAATTTTTTTTTAATGGTTGTTTGACAGCTTTCTTCTTATGGAAACATTATACTGAGAAATTGACTTTCTGTTTTTAACATCTCTTTGAGGATATCATTTCTCTTTTCAGCCCATTGAATTATTTTTTTCCCAACAGTAACAGTAATTCCTTTGTTATAAAATATTTAAAAAATATTTTATTAAAGTTAATATATGGTAAGCACATAATTATAACATTTAAATGGTTAAAAGATTTATTAAAAACAGTATCTCTTTTACATTATCCTGATTCATCCCCATTTCTCACTCTTGAGAGGCAATTGTTTTTTAGCACTTTTAACTTTTTAAAAAAATATTTATCTTGGAATCTCTAAACAAATAACATTTGCAGTATGTGCCCTTGATTTTTTATATTTAGATCCTGTCTTCTGACTTTTCACAAGAGATTGAGACTTTTATGCTCTTAAGCTTACTACCATTACTCTTACAGTTACTTCTTATACCTCTCCAACGTTGCTCCGTCATAATTTTTATTAGATCAGTATTCATTATTGTAAATATAAAAACACTGTTTTAAGTTGAGCCATGGGGTATGCTATGGTTACTTTTCTTGGAAACTTCTCCCCGACCTCCATCAGAGTTAGTAATTGACTATTTCCTTACTAGTTTTCTACATTTTTATTACACATTCCTTCCTATTCCCGTTTTTCTGAATCTTCTCTCAATATGATTGAAGACATCAGATATTGTGTCAGTTTCATCTTGCAAATAGCTCTTCCAGGACCGTCTGTCCTGCTTTAATCTGTAGTAGGTGCTCTTCAGCCAGCTGCCCAGCTGTCATTTCACCTCTCCCCTCACATCATCCTGGGTGCCTTTCCACCTCTTGTGAGATAGAGCCTCTGTTTCCTGAGACTCGTGTCATTTTATTCTCAAATAGCAGCTTCCTGAGAAAGGATGCAGGGGAATTACTTTTGGTTTTGAGGTTGTTGTTTTTCTTTGTTTGTTTTTTAAAGAAATCCCATGAGTGAAAATTTCTTTGGCTGTGCTGGATGTGTTCTTTTCTCTTCACTAGGGAAGGTGTTGATACCTTAGGCTGATGGCCTTTTCAGGTACCAGGGCTCAGTACCAATCCCATTAGGTCATATAATGGTGGCTTTGTTGTGGAAAGGGTGCACATGAGAAACCAGGGTCAACAAGAAGGAGGCACAGGTCCACCACCACCCTCATTATATCACAGAACAATGCTTGGGGGGTTCCCACCAATCCCCTTACCCCCAGGCCTAAAGTAAAACATGAATGCAGTCTTATCGGCAAAGAAACATACAGGCTGCTTGTGATCTTGTCTCTTTGAGTGCTGTTGGATGCTTATAGGAGTGTTTGAGAATAGTAGCTGTTTACCCCCAGAGAACTTTGGAGCCAGTGGAAGTTACAGGCCCTCCTACCAGAGGGAGGAAGCTACCCGTGTCATGGCAAGTTGAGCCTGGGGGCAGCATCTCTGGGGACATGGTCAGTGAAGGGGGTTTTAGCTAGGTCCTTCTCCAGGCAGCCAGGGTAAGGCACCAGGGTCATATTGGGAAATCTTGCAGTTTGCATTGTATATGTATCCTCCTTTCAGTAAATATCAGATTCTCAGTGGAAAAACATTTTTTCCACTCAGAATTTAAAAATCATTTCATCATAGAATTTTTAAACTGCTATTGGGAAATCTAAGGCTTCCTAGACACATAATTATTTTTCTGTGTCCTATTTTTTTTTTCTTTAGAAGCTTTTAGGGTCCTCTTTTGGACTTTCTTGTTCTAAAATTTATTATAACATGCTTTGGAGTAGATCTATATTTATCCATTATGCTGATTACTCATCGGATCCTTATTAATAAATCTGGGAATGCATTTCCTTTAATTTTGGGAAAGTTTCATGATTTGTTTATATAATATCCTTCCCTCTGTTTTCTCTTTCTAATCAAGTATACCTCTAAGACACACACACACACACACACTCTCTCTCTCTCTCTCTTTCTCTCTCTCTCTCTCTCTCTCTCTCTCTCTCTCTCTCTTTTGTTTTCATTTTCTGTTTTTTTAAATATATGTTTTTATTTATTTCAGAGAAGGGAGGGAGAGAGAGAGAAAGCGATAAAAATATCTACGATGAGAGAGAATAATTGATCAGCTGCTTCCTGCATGCCGCACACTAGGGATCAAGTCTGCAACCCTGGCATGTCATGTGCCATGACCTAGAATTGAACTATGACCTCCTGGTTCATAGGTGGATGCTCAACCACTGAGCCACACCCACCAGGCTCTCTCATTTTCTTATCTTTATCTCTTGACTTTCTTTGTTTTTTTTTTTTTTTGTTTTTTTTTTTTTTACTCTATTTGTTATGAGAGCTCTTTAGTTTTACAATCTATCCCTTCCTTGGAGATTTTTATTTGTGACATTGTAATTTAAATTATAAGTTTTTTTCTTTTTCATTGTTTTTTTTTTTTAATGGATTTTCTTCTCTTAGCTATCTGAGGTTTTGTTTTTCTTTTCAGATTTTATTTACTCTCCCTACATAGTCTTTTTTTTTTTTTTTTTAGGTTGCCCTTTTTTGTTAATTTTTCTGTCTGTTATGTTGGAATACGTCCTCACATATCTCATCCTTGGCCATCTGTTCCTGTGTAAGAATGGATAGAAAGCTGCTGGGTAGCTTTGTAATTGTGGGTGGAGCTTGCAACTCTGGACATTAGTCCAGGGTGATCTTGCTGGGCCATTTTGTTGACCATCTTTCCCTGGCTAGACAGAGTCCCCAGAAAAGAATATCCAGTCTTACCTAAACCATATATGTCTGACTCTGAACTTGTTGGAAGCCAAGTAGGGGAAAGGTATGAGGGCCTTCAGCATTCAGTACCTGAGTTTCAGTACTTTGTCTCCAAGAACCCATAGGTGTGCCTGGTGTGGTATCATCATACCCCCACCCCGGGCCCAATCTAAACACTGCTCTTACTCTGCATTGAGTAAACCTACAGTCTGGTGCCTACTTTGTAGTGGGGATCTGGGATCCAGGTGCTTTTTTTTTTTTTTTTTTTTTTTTTTTTTTTAACTTGTTTGTTTATTCTCAGTGACAGTCTGTAAGAATCACATATATATTTTTTTAAAATAAATGTATTGGGTGATACTGTCAA